TTGGTTCCCGAAAGCCACGGACAAGACATTCGTGGAAAAACTGGTCGGCGCTCACAGTGTCCACCCGAAGTTCATGAAGACTGACTTCCGCGGTGTGGCCGACTTTGCAATTATTCATTATGCCGGCAAGGTGGACTATTCTGCCGCTAAGTGGTTGATGAAGAACATGGACCCGTTGAATGAGAACGTTGTCAGTCTTCTGCAAGCCTCGCAGGATCCGTTCGTGTGTCATATCTGGAAAGACGCCGAGATCGTCGGTATGGCGCAGCAGGCGCTCACGGACACACAGTTCGGTGCGAGGACGAGGAAGGGCATGTTCAGGACGGTCTCGCAACTGTATAAGGAACAGTTGGCCAAGCTGATGGTGACGTTACGTAATACGAATCCGAACTTCGTCAGATGTATAATTCCGAATCACGAGAAGAGAGCCGGTAAGATCGACGCTCCGCTTGTGCTGGATCAGCTGCGATGCAACGGCGTGTTGGAGGGTATCCGTATCTGCCGGCAAGGCTTTCCAAACAGAATTCCGTTCCAAGAATTCAGACAACGCTACGAACTGCTTACTCCGAATGCTATCCCCAAGGGATTTATGGACGGGAAGAAGGCTTGCGAAAAGATGGTATGTATTTCGATCTCATTTTAATCGCATATCTCGATCAAAAATAATAGGAATGTATCGCTAAATCATAAATTTTTATTATAGATTCAAGCATTGGAGCTAGATCCGAATCTTTATCGTGTTGGACAATCAAAGATCTTTTTCCGCGCCGGGGTGTTGGCCCACTTGGAGGAGGAGAGAGACTACAAGATCACGGACATAATCGTCAATTTCCAGGCCTTCTGTCGAGGTTTCTTGGCCAGGCGTAACTATCAAAAACGTCTGCAGCAGCTTAACGCGATCCGCATTATCCAGAGAAACTGTGCGGCCTACCTGAAGTTGCGCAATTGGCAATGGTGGCGGTTGTACACTAAGGTCAAGCCTCTGTTGGAGGTTACCAAGCAGGAGGAAAAGCTTACGCAGAAGGAAGATGAACTGAAGCAGGTTCGCGACAAGCTGGAGTTACAGTTGCACTCGGCTCAAGAATACGAGCGCAAATATCAGCAGGCAATCGAAGAAAAGACGATGCTGGCCGAGCAATTGCAGGCAGAGGTTGAGCTTTGCGCGGAAGCCGAAGAGATGAGAGCTAGGCTGGCCGCGAGAAAGCAAGAGCTGGAAGAAATTTTGCACGATTTGGAAGCGCGTATTGAGGAGGAAGAAGAGAGAAGTGCCGCGTTGACCCAGGAGAAGAAGAAGTTACAGTTAAACATCAGCGATTTAGAAGAACAATTAGAGGAAGAGGAAGCTGCCAGACAAAAACTGCAATTGGAAAAGGTCCAATGCGATGCGAAGATCAAGAAATTAGACGAAGATCTCGCTCTTTCGGATGATACCAATCAAAAATTATTGAAAGAGAAAAAGATTCTCGAGGAACGCGCCAATGATCTTTCACAGACTTTAGCTGAAGAAGAGGAGAAGGCGAAGCATTTATCGAAGTTGAAAGCTAAGCACGAAGCGACGATCGCCGATCTCGAGGAGAGGCTCCTCAAAGATCATCAGCAACGACAAGAGGTGGATAGATCCAAGAGAAAAGTCGAGACTGAAGTTTCAGACTTGAAGGAGCAATTGTCCGAGAGGAAAACGCAAGTTGAGGAAATGCAGCTTCAACTTGGCAAACGCGAGGAAGAACTCAATCAAGTTATGGCGAAAATGGACGAAGAAGGCGCCGCTAAAGCTCAAGCTCAAAAGGCGCTTAGAGAATTAGAGTCACAATTAGCCGAACTTCAGGAAGATTTGGAAGCTGAAAAGGCGGCTAGGGGTAAAGCGGAGAAACAGAAGCGCGATTTGAATGAGGAACTCGAAGCGCTGAAGAACGAATTGCTCGATTCTTTAGATACTACCGCGGCTCAACAGGAGTTGAGAAGCAAACGAGAACAAGAACTCGCGACATTGAAGAAGAACCTCGAAGAGGAAACATCGTTGCATGAAGCCACCCTCGCCGATATGCGTCACAAGCATACGCAAGAATTGACTGCTCTGAACGAACAGATGGATGCGTTGAAGAAAACAAAGGCGGTTCTAGAGAAGGCAAAAGGATCTCTGGAGGCCGAGAACGCCGACCTGGCTACAGAACTGAGATCCGTTAGCGCAAGCAGGCAAGAGTCTGACCGTCGTCGTAAGCAAGCGGAGCAACAATTGGTGGAAATAAACGCAAAATTGGTCGAGGTAGAACGAAACAAACAAGAATTAGCCGAGAAAGTGACGAAACTGCAACAAGAAGCGGAAAGTGTGATGCAGCAATTAGAAACCGCCGAACTGAAAGCATCTGCGGCATTGAAGGCATCGGCCACCTGCGAATCCCAGTTCACCGAACTTCAACAGCAATTGGAAGAAGAAACTCGGCAGAAACTAGCTCTCAGTTCGAAGTTGCGCGCAATAGAAAGTGAGAAAGAGAGCTTGCATGATCAACTTGAGGAGGAAGAGGAAGCGAAACGTGCCTTGGACAAGCAATTGCTGAGTCTAACTGTACAATTGGCCGAAGCCAAGAAACGTGCTGACGATGAAGCAGAGGCGGCTGCCGCTCTCGAGGAGGCCAGGAAACGTTGCACGAAAGACATTGAAGGCCTCCAGCGGCAAGTCGAAGAATTGCAGGCAGCCAATGACAAGCTAGACAAATCGAAGAAGAAGATCCAGGCAGAATTGGAGGACAGTATCATTGAGCTGGAGGCACAGCGAGCAAAGGTACTCGAGTTGGAAAAGAAGCAGAAGAACTTCGATAAGGTGCTGGCCGAGGAGAAGGCTGTGTCCGAGCAGTATGCGGAGCAACGGGATGCCGCGGAGAGAGAAGCGCGCGAGAAGGAGACAAGAGTGCTATCGTTGACTCGCGAATTGGACGAGCTTAATGAGAAAGTTGAGGAACTTGAACGGGGCCGTAGAGGTCTACAGTCGGAACTGGACGAATTGGTTAATAACCAAGGTACCGCTGACAAGAATGTCCACGAGTTAGAGAAGGCAAAACGTTCGTTAGAGTCGCAGTTGCAAGAGCAGAAGTCGCAGGTTGAAGAATTGGAGGACGAGTTACAATTCACGGAAGATGCTAAACTGCGGTTGGAAGTGAACATGCAGGCGTTGCGAGCTCAGTTCGAGCGTGATCTCCAGACTAAGGAAGAACAGGCGGAAGAAAAACGTCGGGGATTAGTGAAGCAGCTCCGTGACCTCGAGGCGGAGCTCGAGGATGAGAGGAAACAGCGTGCCGCGGCTATCGCAGCACGTAAAAAAATGGAGGCGGATTACAAGGACATCGAGCAACAGTTGGAGATGCACAACAAGGTGAAGGAGGACGCGCTCAAGCAACTGAAGAAACTTCAAGCTCAAATCAAGGATTGCACTAGAGAGACGGAGGAAGCCAGGGCTGCCAGAGACGAACTGGCGGCTGCCTCTAAGGAAACTGAGAGGAAAGTCAAGAGCTTAGAAGCCGATCTGTTGCAATTGACCGAGGACTTTGCCAGCAGCGAACGCGCCAGAAGAACCGCCGAGAACGAGAGGGACGAGCTGCAGGAAGAGGTCAATAACAACGCCAACAAGGGCACCCTGATGTTAGACGAGAAGCGTAGACTGGAGGCGAGAATCGCCACTTTGGAGGAAGAATTGGAGGAGGAGCAATCGAACGCCGAGATCGTGATGGATCGTGCCAGAAAAGGTCAGATTGTGATCGAGCAGTTGACAACGGACTTGGCGACTGAGCGATCGACTACGCAAAAGCTGGAGTCGCATAAGATGCTGTTAGAGAGACAGAACAAGGAGCTCAAGGCCAAGCTGACCGAGCTAGAGACTGCGCAACGTGCCAAGACCAAGGCAACGATACAGCAACTGGAATCGAAGATCAACAATCTCGATGAGCAGCTCGAAACCGAAGCCAAGGAGAGATTCGCCCAGCAGAAGATCAATCGCAAGCTCGAGAAGAAATTGAAGGAACTCAGCCTACAGTTGGAGGACGAGAGACGAAACTCCGATCAGTATAAAGAACAGGCGGAAAAAGTCAATGCCAGGATGAAGGCGTTGAAGAGGCAATTGGACGAAGCGGAGGAGGAGATCAGTAGGCATAAGACCATGAAGCGAAAAGCGCAGAGAGAGATGGACGACATGATAGAATCTCACGAAGAGCTTACGCGGGAATTGACGCATCTAAAGAATAAATTAAGGTAATTTCACATTATCTACTTTTCCACGCATACACACGCATACATAAATATGGAAGGAATAAAACCAATGTTTAAATATGAAAAGGTCTTGAAGGTTCGGGGGTAAAAGGGTTTAATGTTTGGAGGATAATTAGTAGCAAGAGGATACTATTCTTTCTAACGATTTACATATGTGTTATTTTATGTTACACTTTTTAGGCCATACGTATCTGTAACCTTAGGCGAACGTAATGAGGCAGTATTAAAGTAGTGTTTTATCTTTGAAGGAAGTGATCAACTTCTGACATGTGTAGGTGTCAAGAGAGAAAAAACGATTGGTATCCTACCTGAGAGAGTTTTTTGCTAGGAAACAATCCCATTAGTGTCCCCAGTGTGCTACAGTGAGTTAAACGAGCTCTTTTGGTTAATTTGAAACCGCTAACCCTGAAAATAATATTGCCGATTTGGACTTGCTACCTTGTGTGATAATGACATACTTCTACCCC